CCTCTCCGACCTCAAAACCCCAAGAACCTCTTGTAGATGCTCATTGTGCTGCTCCCTAGATCTCAAATACACTAACATATCATCAATGAACACAATCACCAACTGATCCAAGATAGACCTACACACCCGGTTCATGAGATCCATGAACGTCGTCAGTGCATTGGTGAGTCCAAAATGCATCACCACGAACTCGTAATGCCCATAACGAGTTATAAAGGTCATCTTCTGAATATCCTCCGCACACACTCTCATCTGGTGATATCCGGATCTCAAATCAATCTTGGAGAACCAGGATCCCTACTGCAGCTGATCGAATAGATCGTCAATCCTCGGAAGTGAGCAACGGTTCTTGATCGTTAACTTGCTCAACTCCCGGTAATCAATGCACAACCGGTGTGAACCATCATTTTTCTTGACAAAAAGGATCGGCGCTCCCCATGGCGAGCTACTCGGTCGAATAAATCCCTTTCCCAGCAGCTCCTGAAGCTGTAAGGATAACTCATGCATCTCTGGCGGTGCAAGGTGATAGGCACCGCCCCCGAAACCAAATCAATCTGAAACTCCACTTGCCTCTTGGGAGGCACACCAGGTAAATCCTCATGGAAAACATTAGGGAACTCGCATATTATTGGAACCTCTGATACAGAACTCGGCTTCTCTGACATAGTCTGCGAATCCATCACATATGCCAGGAATCCCATACAACCCTGCTGTAAACTCTGCCTTGCCCTAGAGGTAGAGCAGAAAGCTTACCCAGATCTGGTACCCTCGCCATACAGTGTAAACACTCCCCCACTAGGGTCTCGTATAGTCACCAACTAGCGCTCGCAGTCGATCACTGCTCCAAAATGGCTCAACCAATCCATGCCCACGATGACACAGACATCACCCATCGCGATCGGTACCAGGTCAATCAGAAACTAGACAACAAAAATCTCTAGCACGCATCCTTGGAATACCTCGGTAGCAAAAACCTCATGCTCATATGCTATAGAAACCCTCAGAGGTCGACTTAACGCCTCATGCTAGTTGCGAATGTGACGACTAAAGGCTATGGATATGAAGGATCGATTTGTACCCAAGTCAAATAACACTAAAGCAGGTACAATACTCACAAGAAATGTACCTAAATATAGCACAGGATAAACATAAAAAGAAGCGCATAATGAATAAATAAATAAAATGAAAAATACATACTAGCCACAACATCAGGTGCTGCGCAGACCTCCTCCGCTGTCAACTGGAAAGCTCTCCCACGAGCCTTCGGAACCTTGGCCTTCACCGACCTAAGATCAGTAACATGTAATGCAACAGGAGTGGAATCCTGGGCTGATCCCTGAACAAGATGAGGGCACTCGGCCTTCCGATGGCCGGTCTGATTGTAGTGGAAACTGACTGCAAAACCCTTGGGGCAATCCTTCGCCATATGCCCCTCCTTGCCACATTTGTAGAAAATCCCTGCCCAGAAAGATCCCTCGTGACTCTTACAGCACTTGCCACAAGTGTGACCCTTCTGGCCTCCTGATCTTGGATCAGCGGGCTTAGCCCGCTTGGCTGCCGACTGCAACTGCGCTGGCCGCCGGTCTCTCCCCTGAGACTCTGCGTCCTCCCTCGCCTGAGTCTCCAACTCGATCTCCGCCCTCCTGGCATTTTCCTGGAGCTCAACAAATGTACGGTAAGATGAGTTCACCATGAACTCCCGAATATCCCTCCTCATAATGCTCAAGTACCGACTCCCAGGTTTCTAATTCACAAATACTCTATATCTCACGAATCACATACTACCTTCTCAGAATACCCCCCTTTTAAGCTCATCTAAGTATCTCTTCCTAGATCATTTCCCGGATTAGAACTCCGCATATACTCAAACAATAACAGCTAACATTGATCAAGGCATCTCTTAGGCTAAGGCATCATAGATCAGGCAACTATAGCCCTAAAATATGAAATACCTAGCTTACCCTCTAGCATGAAATTTTGTAAAATATCTCATAAATATCACGTAATACAACACCTACAAGTTGCGAGCCTGCTAGTGTTCCAATGCACTGTCTAGAATAGTCCGTGGTTGTCATCCATACTCTGCTAGATGACGGGTCCATCATTTGGGTAAAAGGTTTCTCTCATTGTTCACCTCTCACCTTGATCTCATGGTCTATATCACCTCTCATCTCATCATCCGACTCATATTTCATCTACCCATATTTTTCCCAATATATTTTGTAGATATAAAATACATATACAGTTTAATTCATTTGAAGCATGTATAAAATTGTTCATCCAACATAGACAGTAAGTATTCAGATAATATGCACGCATATCACGTAATTTATATATAAAATACTTCGTATGTATGTGTAAGATGAAAGTAACTATGCAATCACCTGATAAGGTGGTGACGCGGTTCTCGGACAACACTTCGTTTACTTTAAAACAATTTTCTTCGACAAAACCTAATACCATTGCCACTAGAGTTTAGTCTAATGTTTTACCGAGACTAATTAATAGTGTACCTATTATTACTATAATATACGCGTTAAATAATACTCTTCACCCACTATGTACAGACATGGGCCAGACATGAAACACTGGAGGTCATGATCATTTTGGCATATAACACTTCTGAATCCAGCAACCCAAGCGGCCCTCCAAACCAGATTCCCCGTACCGCGAGTGGTTAAAAAAATATTACAACAACACTTATATAACCCATAATAATATCTCACATAACTACCATAAGGTCCTAATAACGTTACTATAATTCAGTAAAAGCTATATTAAAAATAGCATATGCGTAGCTCAGTTACAACAGGTTTTCTCGAAAACCGGGCTTCATTTGAAGCAGCATTTCCGAACCGAAAGACCCTTTTTCTTGGGACTCCGGGAGCCTCGTGGCTTCCTTCGGGTGCTAGGGGTTTACCTAGGCTTAGGGTGGGGGTGGGGGGGTTTAGGGGGCTTAGAGAGAGAAAGAGAGGGTGAAAGGTGTGAGAAATATGAATGATTCACCCTTTATTTATAAAGGTTTTATCGTAGAGTAGTCTCTAAGCTTCATCTGTATCTTCCGCGTACGAGCTCTGTTTTCTACGTTCTTTATATCCACACGTTGGTATTTACAAGTACTACAACTTTCATTTATACCTCGTCGGCTAATTCTCATTGTAGCTTAGATTTACAAAACTGTATCGAATTCGCCGAGCTTGAAAAGTAGAGACTAAGTTTCATCCATATCTTTCTCATATGAGCTCTATTATCGACGTTCTTTATATCCACACTTTGGTATTTACGAGTACTACAACTTTCATTTCAACCTTGTCTGCCAATTCTTATTCTCATATTTACAAATCTGCATCGAATTCGACGCGCTTGAAGAGTAGAGACTAAGCTTCGTCCATATTTTTCGCATACGAGCTCCGTTTTCGATTGTCTTTTTATCGTTTAAATCCTATTAATGATATCTTCATTTACCGTTTAGAATATTTTGGCTAAAAATTGACCGATCTAAAATACAAGTTTCCAGGATGTTTACTTTTATGCTAAATGTTAGAAAAATCATAACTTCCTCATATGAAGTCAGATTTGGACGTTCTTTTTATGCACACTCTCGGTTTAACATATACTATGACTTTCGTTTAGATCTTTAAGGCTAGAAAGTATTTTATCGTAATTCACTTTTTATGATTCCCGGTGTCGTGCCGGTTTTGCCGTAAAACTTCGAAGGCTCATAACTTCTTCGTTATAACTCGAATTTCGGCGTTCGTTATATGTACGGAACCCTTGTGACATATACTATAACTAATATTCTATTAAAAGTCATTTTTCATGCTTACTATCTCTAAATTGACTAGCCCGAATCTACAAGCGTTACAATATATTTCTTTGGTTATTTATCATCTTCTTCCATATATTTGCATGGGAATATCATATTGATATGAAGTCATGAAACTGTTTAGGGGGTGTTTGAGATTGTTTTTTAACCTAAAAATTCATTTTCAATAAAAGAAATATTGTCTTATAGTTTTTTACAAAAGACAGTTTTAAAATGGACAAAATTGCAAGTTTGGTCCCTGTGGTATGTCAAAAATTGGATGTTTGGTCCAAAAAGTTTTGGGGTTGCACCGGTGGACCAAAAGCTTTGATTTGTTGTGGAATTGGTCCAAAGTCTTAACAGCCGTTTATGCCATCCGTCTGTGTGAGGGTATTTTTATCAATTCACGCCCATTCTTTTAATATCTTATTAAATTAAACTCCCCTTACGTCTACTCCCCCTATTAATAGATTGAACGTGTGTTCCATCTTTTCCCTAATCGATATCTCCTCCTGCTAAAATCAAAATCGTGTCTTCCAAACTCAAATTCAACAATGGTGAGGTGTTTTTGTGGTCAAATGGCGATAGTGCGAACGGCTTGGACTGATAAGAACCCTGGTCGACGTTTTTGGGATGCCCTAAAGAGGTTAGTATTCATGTGGATGGTTATGAAGATTTTTCACCGATCACTCAATTTCTTCTTATAGTTTGCTAGGATTCGACATGTGGGTTTGTGGGATGGATCGACCCTCAAATGTGTGAACGATCAAAATCAATAATACATGGGTTACTGAGATCAATCAACAAGCTAAAGACTGAAGTTGGAAAATTAAAGGAAGAAAATCAAATGTTCATGTATGATATTGGAAAAATAAAGGAAGAAAAATCAAAACTAACGTTGTACATGATATGTAGCTGGGTTTTTTTGGGTTTGTCTTTTTTCTGATGAAGTAGTTCGTCCATGTTTTAGTGGTTTATTTTGTGGTAGATTTAGGAAGATTGCTATGTTTGTGAATGTACTCTTTTAGACACGCAAGTGAATGCATTGTTTTGGTTAGTGGGTAATGAAGTTATTTGTTTCAAACATCTAAATATTTTGGTTCAACTAGACATAACAGTGATGGGACAAACTGTTAATGCTTAACATAACCAAATAGTAACATAAAGATGCTAAAAAGTAAAGGACAATGATGCATAAACAAAAGAACATCCAAAGTAAATAACAATTGTTTGCACATACCAAATTCTTGTTACATGACCAAAAAAAACATCATTCTAAACAGAGGGTAAAGTTTTCCAAATTATCAAAACCATAAAACAGACAGCCGAAATAACATCACAATAGTTCCCAAAAGTAACACATTACACAGTCTTAATCCAACAAGACAACACATCAATTTCCTCTTTGCCCCTTACATGTTCTTGCATTATGTCCCTTGTTTTTACACTTGCTACAAGTGACAGTAATGAACTTTCTTGTGAGTTTTCCACTGCCCCCTGGACCATGACCATCTATACCACTAGCACCAATTGTTTGACTTTGACTTTGAGTTTGGCTCTGACTTTGAGCCATAATTTGAGATTTTTCCTCCATGGATCTTTACCTCTTCTTCTTGGGCCTACCAGGCTGATTACGATGTGGAGGAGGGTAATCTTCATAGGACAATCACTAACAGGCCACATGATACGACCTTTGATTGGTTCTACCTTGTAGGAATAAGCCTCTTTCCAGGTTTCAAGCCAATGCACCTTGTGTACATAAGTGTAAAGTTCACCGACCTCCTCACCATTGTCAGCTTTATCAAACAGGACTGCAATTACATGCCTACAAGGAATTCCTGTTAATTCCCATTTCCTACAGCTACATACCCTTTGGCCCATGTGAACAACATGTTGATCTTGCCATGGTCCTTGTACTTCATACTTGTCTGAGGAATTCCACCTGGCTATGTAGTTAGAAGCATTTGTTGTGTTTGTTTCCATGATCTTTGTTGCTATTGGAGTCAATGGACCTACACACTTCTGTTGAACCTTTATCACATTGCAAATCCTCTTCATCATGTACTCCCGAATGTACTCTAAGCATGTGATTATTGGTTTATCCCTACCTTCTATCAGTTTACTGTTAAAAACTTCACATAGGTTATTCAAAATTGTGTCTATGATTGGTCTACCTGCAAGACAATTGTAATTTAGAACAACATACAGTAAATATGTGTAAATTAGCACTGAATTGAGAGTTGTCTACCTGTGAAATAGCTTCTATCCCAGTGTTGTGGTGGGATCTTCTTCAACCATTCATAAGCTTCTATGTCATATTCACTAAGATCTTTCATCAAACGATTGAATTCTTGCACTGTTGTTGCTTTGGCACAGTTCCATAACCTATCTTTGTACTAAGTAGTTCTCCATCTCTTCCTCATGTTTTCATATATATGTTTAAGATAAAATCTGTGTTCAGCAACTGGGAACAACTGTGCAATGGCTGGAATTAATCCCTACAAAGTCATTAAACTGTGGTTAGTATAATACAAGTGTAATAAGAAAACTAAAATACATCAAGGAAATCTATTACCTTTTGTCTTTCACTTATGAAAGTGAAGTTTGAAAGTTGTGACAGGTCTAAATCATCTCCCAGGTACTCTAGAAACCATTTCCAACTTTGTGTGTTCTCAAACTCAACAATGACGTATACTAATGGGTATATACCATTGTTAGAATCTAAGCCAACTACAGTCAAGATCTGCACTGGGTAAGCTCCTTTCATGAAGGCCCCATCTAAACCAATAAAATCCCTTAAGCATTATTTGAAACCTTTTTTCATTCCACCTAAGCAAATATAAATTCTCTGAAAAAATCTTGAAGTTGAATTTACAAGATTTGGTTGTTGAACCAGTTCCAGTTTCATAGTTGTGTCAGGATTTGTGGACTGCAACTCTAATATGTAATCTCTCAGCACATCATATTGTTTTGTGTAATATCCCATCACATGTTTTTTGGTATCTGCTATAGCCCTAAATATCTTGTCTTTGGAGAAGCTCACCTGATATCTTTTCTGAAGTACTTCTTGTACAACATTGATTGGCATAGTTGGGTTAGATTCCACTAGATCCATAATCTGTTTAGAGAGGAAGTTTGTTGTGGCCGTTCTTACCTTTCTTGTTTTGAGGCATGAATGTTCAGGTTGGTAGGTTTTCACACACCAACTTTCTTCCTCACTTTTCCTAGATGCTTGTAAAACCCACTGACAAGACAGTTCAGTACTTGTCTTTGTCTTTTTACTTTTGCCTTTACTTTTCTTCCCAATGGTAGGTCCATCCACTTGCCCCTCATCGAATACTACTTTTCCTTTGCATGTGTCCCGCAACCTAACTTTATCATTTTTCTTAATAAAAAGATTCTTCATGGTTTCCAAGGCATGATGGGCAATTTTGTCTTTCAACTCTTTTTTACTTTTATATTTTTGTCCTATATGAAATGTTGATTGATGTACTTCTCCTAAAGAACACCTTTTTCCTTACCTAGTTCTTTAATAACCTATCTTCTCTTCTTGCCCATCTCAAAATCATCATTTGCTGAATCCTATTCATCATTATCAATAACATCCAACTCCATATCTTCATGCTCCTGATATCTATCTTTCTCCATGTTATTCCTTAGTCTTTTCTCAAAAAACTCTAATTCATTGTCAATGCTCATGTGGAAATCCCTCATATCCACTTCAACTTCAGGAATGATATTCACCTCATCCATCCAATCACTATCCTCACTGTCATCTTCCTCATCACAGTGACTACCCTTTCCCCTATCAGATATGCTCCCATATTCTCCATCAAATTTGCTCCCATCATCATGCTCTATTTCAGTCTCCATGTAATCATCCATGTAGTTGTCTATGTAATTATCCATGTAATTATCGAAGTTATCTTCCATGGTAGCCTCATGTCCATGATCTAGTTCCACTTCATCTTGTGCATTTTCTTATACTTCTACTTCATCTTGAACATGTTCTTCCACTTCTACTTGTACGTGTTCATGAACATCTGCATTTGCTTGTAATATCTTTTGATACAAACCGATATCAAATTCTGTAGCTGCCTCCATAAAGTCATTGACAATATGCTCTTTTTGTCTATCATGAACCTCGACATGTAATGGTTGTACCTTAACCTCAACAGGGGATGATCTAGGTGCGCTTGGTAAATCTTATACCTCAGCTGTGGGGTTTTTATTATCATCATTTTCATCTATTTCATCCATTTGTACAATATTTACCTTCCTAACAGGTTTAGGATTCATAAAGTAGGTAAGTAACTTTGTCTCACCATGTTCAGTATATACCCTCATGATTTTGTGATCACGCACATATTGGGAAAAAGTTCGTAAATCATCATCATTGCCTAAGGGTTTAAGACTAAAGTGGAAGTCTCCACCAGGCACAAGGAAGTGATAGTAAATCACAGGAGGAACACCGTACCTGGACCCTTTCATGATAATATCCAACTCATGAACTGAAAACGTCTCTATATTCACCATGTCAACATAGTTCACACTCCCGTCAATGTATTGAACATCAAGAAACTTGGTGAACTCACCTCTATGGTATAGTTTGATGGTAAATAATGTTAGGTGCCCATCTTTAAGCCAACAACAAAAATAAGTTCAGAAGCATGATTTCACGTACAAAAGAAGTAATGTACAGAGAAATTACAAAATCCTTACCATAAGCCACCTTTGCGTTGAACAGTTTGTCTAAGAGCAATATATTCCACATTAGTAAGTTCATACACTGAAATAACAGCGATCACAATAAAAAAAAACTCAACTTGGAGATTAGGGCTTCTAGGTAACGAACGAAGATGAAAGTGACAGGAGAGTCAATCGATGAAATGCACAGAGGATTTGGTTGTAGGTATCAATTAATTAGGATGATGAGGTTTAATTTAATAAGATATTAAAAGAATGGGCGTGAATTGACAAAAATACCCTCACACAGACGGAGGGCATAAACAGCTGTTAAGCCTTTGGACCAATTCCACAACGAATCAAAGCTTTTGGACCACCGGTGCAACCACAAAACTTTTTGAACCAAACATCCAATTTTTGACATACCACAGGGACCAAACTTGCAATTTTGTCTCTTAAAATGTGTTTGAATTATCAGGGAGCAAATACTAAAAAGCTAAAAGTTAGGCTTTTAAAATCAGGGTTATCTACAAAAAAGTCACAATTTTATTTCAAAAGTTTCAATAAAATCCTAAATTTTTTTTTTTAAACAAGAAAGTCAAAATATTTTGATGTTTTACCTAAATTAACGAAAAAATCATTTTTTATATTTGAACAGCAAATGATAGATTATATTATTTTTTCAAAATATTGTGATTTTTCTGTTCAAAAATTTATTTTAGTACTTTATTTAAACTTCTCAAAAAAAAATTGAGACTTTTCTATAAATATCCTTAAAAATCACTCCTTTTTTTTCTTATAAAAAATCATTGGAATTTTAGAATTATCAACACATTTTCAAACTTTTAACTTTTTATAAAAGCTAATCTCAAACACCCTGTTGTTTGTTTAACGTTGTATTTAGGAAGAAATGGTAACAATGAAAACGAGGAGAAACTGCATAAAGTTTTAACGCCTAGTACTTTAAAAACGATCAAAGTCACCAGTTTATTACTACTCGAACGAAAAATCTAGGCACGTCCCAAAATAACGAAAAATCTAAACCACGAAGCTTCGCCATTCAATATTCATATAAGAAAATAGTATTTTAATTCTAGACGTCTTAAAAATAGATATATTTATATTTCGAAGAATCGTTGCCTTTCATTCAAAACATATAAGAAAATCCTCTGCAACAAAACGATCAAATCCCAAAAATGGGCGCCGACGAGAGAAATAGCACGATACATCCGCCGGCAGCGGAAGTGGTGGTGGTGATGGTGCCCTTCGTAGGTCATGGTCATCTCAACCAGCTGCTACACCTATCCCGCATTATATCCAGCTACAAGATCCCCGTCCACTTCGCAACAACCACCACCCATATCCGACAAGTGCGCTCCCGCTTCCACGATTTCAGTTCACACTCCGCCGCCTCCAACTTCATCCACTCCCACGGATTCCCAACACCTCCCTTCTCTTCTCCTCCACCCAACCCTTCCAACCGGTTTCCTACTCACCTACAACCGGCCATTGATTCATCCCTCCATCTCCGCCGCCCAGTTACCGAGCTCATACGTTCTCTCTCTAGCACCACCAAGAGAGTCGCCGTCGTCCATGATTCCCTGATGTTGTACGTTGTTCAAGACGTAAAATCTATACCAAACGCCGTGACTTACATCTTCAATCCGGTCTCAGCTTTTGACACTTTTTGGGGAGCCTGGGAGAGAAGGAGCAGACCCTTCCCGGTGGACCCGGGAATGCTAAAACGGCTGCCGTCTGATGATGGATGTTTCTCGCCGGAGTTTATAGACTTTCTGAATCTTCAAATCATAGCCCAGGACGGTTCACATGTCGGAGAGTTATACGATTCATCAAGAGCCATCGAAGGTGAATATCTTGAATATTTAGAGAGAGAAGAGATTAATGGCAAGAAGAAGTTTTGGGCAATAGGGCCGTTAATTAATCATGTGGACAAATCAACTTTTAAGGTTTCACATAACCGTCACAAATGCTTGCAATGGCTGGACATGATGCCTCCTAGTTCCGTCGTGTATGTGTCTTTTGGGACAACAACAACCTTCACCGACGAACAAATTACAGAGCTGGCTATTGGGTTAGAGAGAAGCCAGCAGAGGTTTATCTGGGTGGCACGAGCGGCGGACAAAGGGGATGTGTTTGGTGAGGAGGCTAAAATGGTGGATTTGCCGGAAGGGTTTGAAGAGCGGGTGGAAGGACGGGGTCTGGTGGTGCGTGAGTGGGCACCGCAAATGGAGATTTTGGGACATGTCGCGACCGGTGCGTTCATGACTCATTGTGGATGGAACTCATGTACAGAGAGTATATCAAGGGGAGTGCCAATGGCTACTTGGCCGATGCATTCTGATCAGCCACGAAATGCATTTTTGATAACTGATGTTCTTCGGATTGGGTTGGTGGTGAACGATTGGGAACATAGAGATGAGTTGGTGAAGTCGGAGGTGGTGGAGGATGTTGTTAGGAGATTAATGGATTCCAAGGAAGGGGAGGAGGTGAGGAAGAGGGCGGCGGAATTGGCGGACAAAGTGCAGAAGTCGGTGGAGGAGAGCGGTGAATCTCGTAAAGAGATTGATTCGTTCATTTCTCACATCACTCGGCAATACCAATAGGTTCAAATGTTTTATCGTTTCGCCAAATATGAGCTCGGTAATGTATTAATATATTTTTATATACAATCTCTCTCTCTCTCTCTCTCTCTCTCTCTCTCTCTCTCTCTCTCTCTCTCTCTCTCTCTCTCTCTCTCTCTCTCTCTCTCTCTCTCTCTCTCTCTCTCTCTCTCTCTCTCTCTCTCTCTCTCTCTCTCTCTCTCTCTCTCTCTCTCTCTCTCTCTCTCTCTCTCTCTCTCAATGTTTTTCATTGATTATTTTTAAACCATTTAATTAGTTTCGCTGATGTTAACATAACAAAAATAAACTACAAATACTTTTATGTTATTGTCACTATCATCATCTAATATATCGTTCTAATCTTCATCTCTCCCTTATACTATTGTCGTCTCAGAAATTAGATTGAGAAATCGTTGGTGGTTATGCAGATCGTCTTTCCAAATTAAATAACTTATTGATGTTCGTGGTCTGTTACTATTCTTGGATTTGATATTTACGGTAATCAAATGTTATCAATTTCTCTTAAAAAACGAGTAAACGATGTCAATAAGTTTGAAACGAACTCCTTTTAATGTTCGTGTTCTGTTACTATTTATTTTGATTTCTTGGTTTCAGTCATCCGAAATACAATCGATTGTAATTGTTTCTTTACGCAATTGATCTATAAGTTTGAAACGAACTCCTTTTAATCCATGTAGTAGCCAATTTTGAAAATCAAAATTGTATTATGTGTTAAATTAATCTTCCCTGAACCGATTCAGTCCTATTTCTCATACATCTTTCTTGATTTTGTATAATGACTGCTTCATCTCTGTCTATTGGGTTTCAGTCGGTTGAAATTCAATCCTTTTTTATAGGTGAATCGCTATGTTGATCAAGTTTATTATTATCAATTTATTATAAGTTTAAATAACAAAATATGTTGATAAAGTCTATTATTGTCGATTTGTTATAAGTTTAAATAACAAGCTATGTTGATCAAGTTTATTTTTGTTAAGTTGTTTTAAATTTATAAGTAATCTCATTAATCTTTGGCTTAAGCCACTTAGTTTGTTATTCCACAAACAAAATTTTATAACAATAAATTTTTTTATTGTTCGTAACAAACTATGTTGACCAAGTCTATTATTGTCGATTTGTTATAAGTTTAAATAACAAACTATGTTGACCAAGTCTATTATTGTCAATTTGTTTTAAGTTTAAAGGCAATCTCCTTAATCTTTGGCTTAACCCACTGAGTTTGTTATTCTACAAACAAGATTTTATAACAATAATTTTTTTTTATTCGTAACAAATTATGTTGACCAAATCTATTATTGTCGATTTGTTTTAAATTTAAATAACAAACTATGTTAACCAAGTCTATTATTGTCAGTTTGTTTTAAGTTTAAATGTAATCTCCTTAATCTTTGGCTTAAGCCACTGAGTTTGTTATTCCACAAACAAGATTTTATAACAACATTTTTTTTCGTAACAATGTATGTTGACCAAATCTATTATTGCCAATTTGGTTTAAGTTTAAATAACAAGCTATATTGACCATGTCTATTATCGTCAATTTGTTTTAAGTTTAAAGGTAATCTCCTTAATCTTTGGTTTTAGCCAGTGAGTTTATCATTCCACAAACAAGATTTTATAACAATAATTTTTTTTAATTTTCCTAACAAACTATGTTGACCAAGTCTATTATTATCATTCCAATTATACCGTCAATCATAAACAATTTCTAAAATAATTATATACATATTTATCAGGTTTCAATATATAGAATCCAAACATTTATGATTTAAATTTTTTAATAAGGAAATATAATCTTTAAATTTTTTCAAAATCATGCACCCTTATCAATTTAGAAACCATCATTTAATTTAATCTTATTAAAAAAGGATTTAATTCATCTATTTTTGATACATATTTTCTTTTATATTAAAAGCACGGCACATGTTTTCCAATTATATATCTATATTTGTTAACTAATTTTAATTTGTTATTATCTTCACCAATATCTTGTAATTTCATTCTTTGTATAATCATTTTTTATGTTATGTTATGATATCAATTTATGTATTTACTATTCTCTCAAACTTTATGGTATTCATATACAACATATACGAATACCAACAATGAAAGAACCAAATCAAAAACATCACCATACCCACCATTGTCGGACATCACAAACGGTAAAATTTTAATTTAATATTTTCATTAGATGTTCAATACATTTTATTGATTTTCCTTTTATGTAATATATTCCCTTTAAATTTCATATTTAATGTCTAATATATTTTCATTTCATCCACCTTTATATTACTTTTTTTAAGAAAGTAACTTCTACATCCCCACTAATTGTCGAGTTATTTATTAAATGTCCGGAATTACATTCAAACTCATCATCCCATAACGTCCTACGACCGAATTTGCAACCTACAATAATTTCATTAATGTCACCACTTTCACAAATGTATAGGAAAGATATGTTAAATGATCTTAATTTTTTTTATGACATTTTGTTTCTTTTTTGGATATGTTGTTCCATATAATAAAATACTTTTGAAGCAATACCAAGCCCATATGAATCTTGAGTGGTGTAATCAGCTTGAATCGATAAAGTACATTTTTGAAGTATATTAACAAAGATCCATACATGATCACTGCGTCTTTTAGTGACGCCAAAAATAACAAAAAACAACATAAAGGAAATAACGATCTTGATGAAATTGTTGAATATTACAATTGTCATTATATTTTTGCTTGTAAGGCATGCTGGAGACTTTTTAAGTATGACATTCATTATAGAACACCACCTATTGAAAGGTTGTCGTTTCACCTACAAACAATTATATATCTTGCATGAAGTTGACCCCATCTGATAAAAAAATTCCATTCTGTTTTCAACGTAGACAATTCCTCATATTAGTTTGTTTCGCTATGACCATTAACAAAAGTCAATGACAATCATTATCAAATGTTGGATGATACTTGCGTAGATCTGTCTTTCCTCATGATCAATTATATGTAGTTGTTCCTCGTGTAACAAAAAAAAGTTTGAATATACTCATATGTGACGAGGAAGGTCATTCAACAAATAAAACAAAAAACGTTGTCCACAAAGAGGCCCAACAACATTTATAGATATTTATCGATTTCTGTGTTTCTTATTCACATTTGAATAATAACAATAGCCATAAACTTTCTTTTATAATCATTATGCAATATATATAAATGTTTTTAAATTTTTTTAAATGTTCCCCCGCATTTAACGTGATTTATAATCTAGTTTACTTTCTATACAAATAATAACTCTAATTACAACATAAAACTTGTAAAAGAATTTGAAAAAGATATAATTATTTAAAATATAAACTAAAGTAAATTATTTATATAAACAAGTATTTTTTATATAAACATATATTTTTTATTATAAAAAAATATATTTTTACTTTCAAATACATAAAAGTATGTATTTTTTATATAAACATATATTTAAAACGTATGTATATTTTTAAAAATTATAAAAAAATATGTATTTGTACTTTTAAATACTTAAAACTATATATTTTTATGTTTTCAGAGATATAGATAGATTTCTTTAGAAATATAAATATTTATTTTTTTATGTCCATAATGTATAAGTATATTTTTTTAGAAGTATAAGTAAAAAAATTGAAGTAAAAATATGTATTTATACTTCGAAAAATATATTAATATTTCTAATATATATATATATATATATATATATATATATATATATATATATATATAAAATTCTAAAATCTATAAAAATTCGTATTTAAAGTTCTAAATACGCGAAAAAACTTGTATATAAAAAATAGCATTTAAAAAATATCAATACAATATGGGTTATTAAATATTTTTAGGTATATAAATATATTTTATTGTATAAATTTTATAATAACTTTGGAATTTGTGATAGCTTTGATAGCATGGCAAAGTAGAAAACATTTATAAAGTTTTGGTTCTAACGTACAAAAAAAATGACATTAAGAAAACTCTATTAAAAATATAAAGCAAAACTCAAACATTCATCCACCAAATCAAAACCCACATCCAAACACAACCTCTCCTATCATATTGGTCTTATACGAGAGTTATATTAACCTACTAAACACCCAAAGTTCACCATAAATATCATTCCAACAAACTTTTTTCAATCTTACTTCACATCTGATCCAATTTCCTTCCTCACCCTACTTTCAACAAAATGTTTTTGGATAAAATCCAAAATTAAAACAAAACCTTTTTTTGGTACTTCATCTTTGATGCCAAAACTCCAAACAAAAGCAACCACCCACGTAACCATCGTTAGAATTTGTCACCAAAACGCAATCCGGAAGTAGCAAGATAGGGAATGGGAAATGAAAAATGGTTACTATAGAAAATAAAGAAATCCCATAATGGTGAACACTAGAGGAGGATTACGCTTTAGCATTAGTGTGATGCGGGACATCAAAAAATGAAACTCAAGGAAATAATATGAAGAAACAAGCTTTTGGGGAAGTGGCATCCATCAAATTTCATGCTTTCTTTAAAAAATTATACTGCAATAATGGATATGCTAAGTAGTAAATGGAGAGAATTAAATAAGAGGTGCACCAAGTTCAACGTTGTCTACAACAAGCTATATTCAGAAAAGGAGAGTGGTTTCAACGAATTCGATTTGCTTAAAGTCGTAAAAGTATAATGTTAAGTTGAGATGGGTCGTACGTTTGGGTTTGAGAGATCATGGGAGATGCTGAGAAAAGATCCAAAATGGACTCAAATTCCAACATCAGCGAATGTGCAATCTAAGAGGTCTCAAAATTCAAGTTCGATCGATGTTTCCAACGCATAAACTCACATATACATCAATGCCGACATCGTAAGTACTAGAAAAAACCCTTTAATGACGTACATTACATGCCATCAAGGGGTACAGATGACATGTAAAGTTATGTCATTAAAGCCTCTGTCATAAAGGAAGATGACAAGCATTTGCATGTCAT